AGGTAACGTGAGATGGGTGTAGGGGCGCTGGTGGGTGTGGGCGGGGCAGGGAGGGTGTTTGTGGTAGTGGGCGGGGCAGGGAGGGTGTTTGTGGTAGTAGGCTGTAGATTCACCCTACCCAGCTTATATCACCTTAAGATTAACCACCCTAACACCACTTGGAGGATTAGGTTAAGTTAGGTTAGCGTTTTGGGTGGTTACTCTTCAGGTGAAAGATGCTTGAGAGGCGAATCTTTAGGTAGGTATTCCTTTGAGGGCGTGGGCGGGGCCTAGTACAGACAGTGTGGGCGCCGCTGGTCGGGGTGAGCTCATCGTTGACGTAATGTACAGTATCCCGTTAGCCCCCGCTCCCTCAAACATTAGCAGCTTCACACAGGCCCCATTGATGATAACTAACACCACCAGCTAACAGTTGCTCTAGGTAAGATGTTCACAGAAAATTCAATTAATCTCCCATACTAATGTCGGCTGCTATAATTGGTATGAAGATTTTAATTTCTCGCTAATTAATACTTGAAGCCTACGGGGAAATTAATATATGTTATTTATGTTTTTATTCATTATTTAAGCAGGTGTTAGTATCGCGTGGCCATTAAACTCTTTAAATATTTTCCGGGAGTCTAGAAGGCAAAATAAAGATGACACTGAGAGAATTGTTATTGTGAAATTTGTGACAGTCTGGACGCTGTTGTCATCTGGAGTACACAAGTTATCAGAGCGGGCAGTGACACGCCCCAGCAGGTGGAGCAACAGCAGCAGCAGGAGGTGGTGGAGAACATTTATTTATTTTATAAAGTGGTTAGTCATGTCATCAAGTTCCCGCCACTGCACCCAGAGAGAATTTTTTTTGCTTTGCTCAGTTGAAATTTGGACCATTCTCATAATATTGTGATGAATTAAGAACATTTGATTAGCTATATAAAAAGTAATGTGACTAACACACTTGACATAATAAAACTCCTGTAGCATTAAATCAATAAGAAGCAGTAGTTCAATTAGATCGTAAAACACATGACGTCATATTTTACCAGACTAAAGTTCCAGAAGTGGTGATGAATTAGATAAACAGAAAGAAACCAAGATAAACATGGAAATTCCAGTGTATGTATGACTTCCCATCTGTTCAAATAGCAGGAAATAACATAGAAGGAAAAACAACCTTGTCAAATAAACTTAAATCATTGTTATGGAAGAGCCATGGCAAGGCAACCACAGAACATGTGATCAGTGAATAATACTGTTAAATTATGTGTGTTCCTACTCTACAACACACACACACACACACACACACTAAGGCCTCTCACACGCCTAACTTCAAGGCGTGTAATAAGCTAAGAGTGGGTTAGTCAAAGTAGGTAGATAGATGCCTTGGGATTAGTAGCGTTGATTAATATTGTGGTAATCTCATTCTCCTTTTGTTCAGATGAGGTTACAAAGTTGATGTTATTTATTGTATTACCTTTATTATTGTTATTATTACTACTGTTACTATAACGGGATTTTTCATTGATCGTCTTTAGTTGGTGTTTGAAAATTGTGAATAGAAATTGAGTTAGAATATTTATGTGTTAAGGCAGATCCGCAGACCTAGTGTTCAGTGTTAACTCTGGAATGTCAGTGGTAGTGTGTCAAGGTAATGTTACAACTACAGTATACTTGTACCAGTGTAAGCGGCCGTTAATTTTGTTCTCAACTCAAATGCTTCTGTTCTTGTCGGCATATATCCTTGAAGTTTATTTGTATTTTTTCAGCTATATTTGGAAACGTTACATGTGGTGCTCATTAAAATGCTTTGGATATTTTCAGAGTAATACATTTGCTTCATTATAATTGGATTCGTACGTGACAAACAAAGTGGACGGTATCGAGAAACTTCTAGAGAAGGATTAAGCTTATGGCTTAGTATGGAGTTTTTAAGCCATATCTGGAAACAATGATTCTGTGATGTATATAAGGGGAGTCTTGGCTCTCTCACCCAAGTCATGTAATTATGGTGGAACCGCTACTGCAGTGAAGCCTCCCCTATCACCTGCCTGTGGTCATGCTATGTCGACCGCCTGGCAACTTCTCCCGATCCCTGCAGGCTGACATTGTCTTCCCTTATGGGTGTCTGATTATACGATAGGTTACGATGCACATTTCTGACACAGTGTGAATATAGGACAAGTAATACATATGCGTGAATTTGTTTTATATCATTTTATACTTGAAATTACTGCCAAAAATTTAGTGGTCAATACAGGTATGTTGACACTCGGGAAGAGTTGCCAGTGATGATAAATAACACGCTTTTAATTCGCAACTCCAAATAATTCCTTGCTTCCAAGCTACTTGCAGGACTTCAAAATAAATTCTTCATTCTGTTATCAGTTTTAATTAGCATTCAGGCATTTCGCTTTCCATAGACATTCCATACACATGCACCGGCCTCTTAACTAGAGTAAATCAGTTCTCTTATGTCTTGAATATGAGACACATTCGATATGTTGTATGTCTAAGATAAATGTTGATGGTGATAGTATACATGTCTGAGTTTATACTGTTGGGTGAGTGGTGGGATTGGCATGCAGCTTCCCACGGATGGCGGCGGAGGGCGTGAGTCAGCCGCTCCCAAGGATGGCTCTCCTCTGCTTGTTTGTCCTCTTTTTTTTCTTTAGGTTCATCACAAAGAACCCTCACTGCTGCATTGCACTCTTAACATGGCAACTCATCTGTGTCTGCACTTGTTGAACTTAGTAATTGGTTTACTGCCAAACAATTCCGTAACTACAACCAAATTGACTTCCACAGTACAAAGTGGTATAACCAACACTACCGACCAGGGAATTGACCCACATTATCCTTTATTTAGACTTCAATATGTATATATTTTCGCCCTTTTCTCATTCAGTACACATGTTGGGGCCCGGGATGTACAGTAGAGTTTACCTGACGTGTTAAGCTGGTGTGTTATAACGCTTTAGATTTTTCACTTCTCATGTTTACTAACTGTTGGCTTAGTCATTCAGATGTGTTTAATACATGTGCCAGTGTCTTAGGTCTGGCCTGAATCTGTCAATATCTCTGGCAGTTTAATTCTCACAACTCTTAGCTCTGGTGGCGATCATTTCTTTAACCACTTCACTATGAGGTTCGAAATAATACTGTAACCGTGAATTAGTCCAATGAGTAAGATATTTGGACACCTTGAGACTAGTACAATGTCTGAGTACAATGATTTGATTTCTTGTGTACGATGTCTTAACGTTCTTTAATAATATGACTTGTACTCTTGAGACGCTGACATTATATTCAGGTCAAGTCATCGCCCACAAGAGGTTACTGAAGCTGTGCCCTCGAGTGGAGCGGCCATCAGGCGTCTGTAGACCAGCTTAGTTTAATAGCCAGCCCATCTTAAGACGTTTAGTGCCGGATTAACCATGAGGTACTTGAGGTACTGGCCTCAGGCCCCCGACTCTAAGGGGCCCCCAAATCCAAACATTCTCGAAGATGAAGTGTATAAAACATGAACTTCGCTCAACGATGTTCTAGCAACGTCTCAATTTTCTGTCTCTTATAAACATTAAATGTGTTATTTTGCAGAAGCTTAATATTGATGAAATCTTTGATAAATTTGGGTATATTTTGTTCTTGTTATTTATATGTACCTTGAGGGTAGGGGGCCCTGTGCCTCAGGCCCCTATTAAGCTTAATCCGGCCCTGAGGACGTTCTCAATCCATTGACGGAATTTTAGTACTCCGAGTGAGGTAAGAGTACTATTAAAGTCTTTATGATATATGGACCAATGACGCAGTGATGTGAGAATTTAAGTTAATATTTTATCATTAATTTGTGGTAAATATCTAGATCTTCCTCACATCTTTCTTTCATCTTTGGTGCGTTTGAAATTAGCTGAAAACATTTTGTAAGTCATCGCATCAGTTAGATATTTTAATTTTCTAAATAATTTATGATCGCAGACAGACATTTATTTGTATGAGAGAATAGCATCTGATCTGGAATAAAGTATTAAAAAGAGATTTAGTAAATATTGTATGTTAAGTAGGGAAAACAAGAAGTAAGAGAATAATATATATTTTTTATTGTTATGCACACACAGCAAAAAATTCACCCGGAAATGAGGAACCGCGGCAGCATGGGATTAACTACAGGTCCTAATCTGGTCAGGCTGGTTAACTCAACCTTGTGATTTATGAACGTCGTCACAGAGCTTGACCTCACATACCGTCACCCAACTAAGCTATGGTGGTGACCTTTGTGAGGCTTAAGTGGGTCGGCTGTACAGTTCAGAACCTGACAACTGCGACACTTCCTTGTAAAATGATCTTAATGATAAGGGATTTGGATCACCTGAAGACTAGCCCCCAAACTTATTTAACCTTGCGTTATATACCTCCATTTATGCAGCCTGGGGATTAGGTAAAGTGGGGTTAATGTTAAAATGGTTAATCTTAAAAACAATAAACTGGGTTAGGTTAGGTTTGTGTACGATAATCGTTAATTTGAAGTTAACCATTTGCCAGTTGGCGTAATGTGTGTGTTAGGTTAAACTTTGGTAGTTTTAATTAACCACAAATATATATACATCTTTTCAAACGTACACAAAGTAAAACATTTATATAATTATGAGTCGCCATATTTACTTCAGAAACTTAACTCGGTAGTGTTCGAAACCAACCCGCAAGATACATGAAATCCCACCCCCAGCTTTTATGCTTCCCCCCCCCCTCCCCCCCCCACAACTGCATGGCATGTCCTGTGTATGCCTTGTCCGTCTTTCCCCTTCCATCTCCCCCTCCCGTCATTCTCCGCCTTCCTATCTCCCACCCTTAACCTTCCCTTCCCACCCTTAACCTTCCCTTCCCACGTATTATTATGGTGAAATAAGCAGAGGTGTCTTGGAGGAGGTAAAACTTGTTGATGTTTTTTTTAATTTATTTTCGTTTTGGTAATGAGTGTTGGTAGGAGGAGGCGTCTCATGATAACTTTTCTTCGGCAGATGGGGATTCCAATGAAGAACCGGAAGGGGAAGGTGGAGAAGCCCCGACCTCTGAAGATCTGCACATTAGGGGACCAGTCCAGTGAGTATAATGCACCTACCTAGCCTGTTAGCTGCCTGGGGTTATTATTACTATTGATTTTTGTTATTATTATTATTATTGATTGATATTATTAGTGTTATTGATCATTGTTATTAATGTTATTGGTAGTTGCAGTAGTTTGGTTTGTGTACATTACTGATGGGTGCGGTTGGTCGAGTGTAAATACCTATTCCCTCCTGTCCTAAGAGTTGCTAGTTTGATCCCAGGTCATTCCTAGTCTATCCCTCTGTATAAGTCAAGAGAATGGTGTGTATCTGAGTACAAGGTGAGAACTAAGAGGCTTAATATTTCCTAGTTCATTGCACAGCTAGTAGCGGCTTGGCGATTCGATTTCACCAGGCAGCAGACTGGGTGTAATTTTTATATGACCAGATTACAAGCCGCGCCAGATTACTGTGCGACACGTAACCTCCTCCTGGCAACCCCCCCCTCCCTCCCCAGCCTTCCCTCGCACCTCCGCCACCAACACCTCTCTCTGCATGACGTCCCGCCCCCAATGTCATTCTGTCAACCTGGACTTACCACCCACCCCTCACTGCCCTGTTCAATACCCCTCACTTGCCTTACCCTCTCCACCACCCCTCACTTGCCCTACCCTCTCCACCACCCCTCACTTGCCCTACCCTCTCCACCACCCCTCACTTGCCCTACCCTCTCCACCACCCTCCTTCCCCTACCCTCTCCACCACTCCTCACTTGCCCTACCCTCTCCACCACCCCTCATTGCCCTACCCTCTCCACCACCCCTCACTTGCCCCTACCCTCTCCCACCACCCCTCACTTGCCCTACCCTCTCCACCACCCCTCACTTGCCCTACCCTCTCCCCACCCCTCACTTGCCCCTACCCTCTCCCACCACCCCTCACCCCTACCCTCTCCCACCACCCCTCCTTGCTCTCCCTCTCCACCACCCCCTCACTTGCCCTACCCTCTCCACCACCCCTCACTTTGCCCTACCCTCTCCCACCACCCCTCACTTGCCCCTACCCTCTCCACCACCCCTCACTTGCCCTACCCTCTCCCACCACTCATCAATTGCCCTACCCTCTCATCACCCCTCACTTGCCCTACCCTCTCCACCACCCCTCACTTGCCCTACCCTCTCCACCACCCCTCACTTGCCTACCTCCACCACCCCCTCACTTGCCCTACCACTCCCTTTGCCCCACCCTCCACCACCTACTACCCTCTCCACCACCCATCACTTGCCCTACCCTCTCACCACTCATCAATTGCCCTACCTCTCCATCACCCTCCTTGCCCTACCCTCTCCATCACCCCTCCACCCTTCCCTCTCCACCACCCTCACTTGCCCTACCCTCTCCCACCACCCCTCACTTGCCCTACCCTCTCCACCACCCCCTCACTTGCCCTACCCTCTCCACCACCCCTCACTTGCCCTACCCTCTCGCCACCCCTCACTTGCCCCTACCCTCTCCACCACCCCTCACTTGCCCTACCCTCTCCACCACCCCCTTATCCCATGTCTTACTTGACCATATATAATTTGTATATATTTTTATATTGTATCATTAAAAATTATGAAATTTCGGTTTGATATTTATTCTCAGTTTGGGTCCAAAATTCAGATACGTACATCAAGACACAATTCAGTACTAAAACTCATAGTCCAGAACCTATTACCATTAGTAACAGTTGTAAGCCAGAATGAAAAAATAAATGTTAATTCTCTCCCTTAAACACCAATCGACTTTGTTGTGTCTTGTGGATCTGGTCTTGATTTTATTAATATTTATACCAATGAATCTCTTGTAATTATTTCTCACTATTGTGTCGAGAATGGTGCCTTGTGTGTGTGAGCTAACAAGTATTTCCTTATGGTGTATCTTTAACAGCTGGTAATTCGACTAATGTACATATTAATTACTGTTTTTTTTATCACCAGTGGAAAGTGTTCTCTCAGAAATGGACTCGGTGGCTCAGAGTCTTAACTCCACCACCTGTGACCGCACTGTTTACCCAGCCATCGTAGCTCTCTGTGAGAACCTCAAGATGTTTGGACCACAATTGGAAAATGTTTATAAAGGTTAGGGATCCTTAACTGCTGTTACTGTCTCACTCCTCCTTAACTCTGCTGTGTAACTCTTGGTGTTTTATGAAGCATTTTTCTGAGGGTTGAGTTGAATTGCCATAATGAATTAACTGTGATGATTAGTCTTATTCATCATGATTTGCTCTGTAGTCCATCACATGTCACTACTATTTATCTTGTCTTTATGTTAGAGCAGGGGTCACCAAACTTTTTTCACAGTGGGCCGGATAACTGAAAGAATGACGAGCGCGGGCCGCATAATCATTCTGTTCAATACTTGCAAGCCAGAACGAAAGCTCTGGTAACGTCAGAGCGTAGGCGGAGCTACCACGAGCCGGGGAAGGACTTGGGATCCGGCCCGCGGGCCGTAGTTTGGTGACCCCTGTGTTAGAGGAATGGATACTTGTATAGTTATTTTTGTATTCTTCTACACAGATCAACTAGACAAGTGCTACATATCTCTCCGTAATGGTTGCCGTGACGATCGTTTGAGTCTAGCAGCTCGTTACCGACTCCTTGAGGTGATAGAACTTCGAGCAATGCACTGGCAACCCAATGAGAACCTTATCAACTATTACAAACAAAAATTAGTGCAGATAGAGGTAAGTTACTCACAGTAGTTGCATCAGCTTGCTCTCTCTGTACCAGTCCTCACTCATTTGTCCACTGAAAGAACTTGTGACCAGCAGGGCGAGTAAGTCAGTGATTGAACAAGTCTTAGCTGGCAGCCCCCCACCCCTTAGTGGCGATAAATCGAGAAAAATCAACTTTTCCAAAAAAATTAATAATAAAGAAAAACATTCTGGAACGTCACCTGGGGCCTAAGGGTTGAATCTGACTAATATCATGGACATTTTGAAGCCATATGCACTTGATATTAGGAGATATATTGAGGTCAATAGTAATTAATTATTTTTTACTATATAAAAATGCCTGAGTACAATACTGCATTATAGAAAAGTATTAAATTTTTCTGGTGAAAGGGGGGGGGTTCCAGGACCCCTTCCCCCCCACCCAGATCTGCCCTTGCCAAGCGAGCCTTTACCTTTGATATCTTAATACAGTTTAGTAGTATTGTGCTGTATGTATCTTCTCATAAATCAAGGTCAATTTTTCAAGCCATCCCATACCTTTGCCCCTCTAGTCTGGGAATTAGAAGGTTCACTATAAAGCATCAATGTTTGGCAGGCGGAGGAAGCAGCCCTCGATGACCAGCAGCCTGACACACCTGGAACCATCATGACACCAACCAGCACTCCACAGATGATGATCCCTGGCCTTCAGCAGTACCAGCAGACTATGTACAACCAGCAGCACCAACAACAGCAGCAGAATCCCGCACCTCACCCCCCAACACCCACACTGCTCGGACCAGGAGAGTTAATCAGAAGTTCTGGAAAGTTCGCCAAGCCGACCAGGATCCCTGGAAAGAACTATTGCAAAGATGAGGTGGTGATTCGAAATGCAGATTCTGGCAAAGGTAAAACTTAATTCTCATTCCTTCCTTCACCATTTTAAAGATGGGGGCACAGTATTGTCATCATAGTATCTTGGCTTTCTTTCATTTATTGTAGGTTTGTAAGGGTAACTTTGGAGTACTGTTTTGGAGACTTGATTAATATTTGCCTATTTTTAAGGCCTAGGGGCTGAGAGTTATGAAATTTTGGGGGGCGACTTTTTATATTTTTATTTATGCATATACCTATACTTTCTTTTTATTTCAACCTTTATGGCATGTCATGATTAAGGAAAGAATTGCTTTGCCTTTGAATTAGATATGCAGTACAGTAGACCCCCATCCAATCCACGGACTTATGTCTCTACAGAACCCACAGATCGAATTACACTAATATTCCACGGACCCAAAATTTTCACTTGAACCCCAAACACAATTATTGGTATTTTCAATTGATGTGATGTCTAAGTCCTGATGGGTCGTGACGCTAGTGAGTCTTGATGGTGCACTTTTAACTTGGTGATCAAGTCTTAATTTAACATAATAATTTGGTCTAGTAAAGAGTCCCAAGTAATAATGTACTTTATTGCACCCTAAATTATAATACTATATCTCAAATTTAATACAAAAAATCACATATTTTATACAGTATTATCAAGATCAGTTAGACTTGTGTGTATGGGAAGGGTTCTGAAAAGGATAAATCTCTTCTCACATAAACGGACATCGTGTAGGGTCTGTAGACTCACCAGTGTATTGGCTGAGGATTAGCAGATTGATATGTAGATTGGGCGGGTTACTGCATGTTTTGTTACTTTATAATTCACAGAACCTTTTTTTATATATACATTATTATAATTTATTGTACCATAGTTTTATTAGAGTTTGTGTGCAATTTAAGATGAAGCAGATTGGTACATTAACCCCTGAAAGTATTGTTAAAGGGAATTGAATATTTTGCATGTATACACCTACAGTAGTTGATATTTTCTTTTTTAGACGTGGTGCTTATGAATGTTAAAGAGTTATATATTTGCTTTTATATAGTACAGTATATTAAAACTCAAATGGTAATAGACAGTAGGACACATGATATAATATTTATTTTCTCACAGATTCGAGGTAAGGTATTTTACATGTGGGTGCAGTATTGTAGATGGAATGTGTATTTATGTATGTTTCTAGTCTGAAGGATATCAAAACACTATTCTTCATTACTGTTACTGGTATGAATAATGTCAAGTAGTCAAGTTCATCTGGTGATTAATGGACAAATGGAAATTTAATCTCATTTTTTATTTTTTTTTTTACAAATGAGAGAGTGAAAAAGGAGAAGCTGTTTGTATTCTTTCCATGTCTGTATTGGCATTGATGCGGACTAAGGCTTATGGTCACACCTTCAGTACTGGTGGTAGATACAGTTTGTGATCAGACCAGTGTAATGTTGTGTCTTTATTGTTGACAGTCATTAGATGTGACACTTAAATGATAATTTTGACTGTTTACCTAATAATTTTTAGGCCTTTATTTTGTGTTTTAAGATTATTTATTTATTTATTTCAGTTAAAGCTGTACAGTAATATTAGTGTCATACCTAAGTTTGATAACTTTAAGATCACCTTTTTACTGTTTCTTACTCTATAATGTTGCCAATAACCCAAAATTTGAATACAGTAATACCTCAATATGTTTACTGTGTGAAATAGGTCTTTTACCGAGCCTTCGTTAATATGTTGACACTCGGCATTGAATAACTTACCGAGTACAGTATGTCTTGTATCAACAGTACAGTGTGGTGTGCTCTCTGTAACTCACTGTTTTGTACTGTAAACACATCATATTGTAAACAAAGATGATTTGTATTAAAATTTTTATTTATATTTTAGAGTAATGTGCAGTAAACTTTGGTGTAATGAGTAACTTCTGTGTTAATGGTCTTAAAGCAGCTGCTCACTCTATCACAATCCAAAGGTCACTCAACTGAATCTTAGTTTCTGTGTAAAATAATGGTAATAAATCCTAAGTTTGATTATGCCAAAACTTTGTTTGTCAAATATACCAACACATGTTGAGGTGTTACTGTAGAGGGTTATTGAACACTACGGAGGAGTTTGGGATAGAGCCGTGGCAAGTATGAGCATTAAACCTTCAACAAGACATCCATAAGGTTCATATGTGATATTTCTTGTTAATGGAGTATTTTAGATCCAGGTTTAGGGACAACTTTTTTGGGGAATTAGGCCACTAAAAATTTGAGGCTACTTTTGACACCTTTGCACATGACCCACCTGACGTAAAGGCAAAAAGGAGATGTCGTTATTACTTGTATGTGAATAGTTACCATGTATGATGACTCTCGTTACTGCTCAACAAGATTTCCTCAAGTCGTCTACTCTCACCTGTATGTGACCTCCTGTGATTGTGTTCTGTCTTCTGGTATAAAGTCGACATCTCTGATCTGTCTCTTGGTAAACTTAAGTTGACCTGCTGATCTGTCCACTGGTGACCTAAAGTTTGACCCACTCTGTCTCCTGGCACAGTTATGGGGATAAAGGGCAGGCGGGTTCACATGATTGAGGAGCTCTCTGAAACCATCATCTCATTCCAGAGAGGTAAAAAAAATAGATGCTGACCTCCCCTAACCTAGATTTGCTTGACTTGTGATACTTTTCAAATAAACAGTGTATTCTAGATGACTAAATAACCCTTGTGTTAAATGGTACACTTTAGTTATATAGGGTCAACACATCTTACAAGGAAACATGAACCATTAACACCAATGGTCTTGACTTTATTCCAAGACTAACTCGATAATTACGAGGATGAGGTGTTGGTGCTTCCTGTTGTTGTGGAAGAGGTGCTGGATCACCACACAGTATATGGTACAGACTGTATACTAGTTAACATTCTTTGAACCAAAATATCTTAGTGAAATGAAAACTTTTAAGGAATACACTGATTCTTTGAAAATGTTATCAGCCTCTTCAACTGACTGATAAGAACTATTAACCTGATAACCTTAGGAGTATGTAGTTAGGAAAAGGTATGTTGTACTACTAATTATGACTATATATATATATGTATGTTGTATACTAATAACTGCATCCAGAATCTGCAATCCCGTGTATATGCATGACGTGTATTGTACCTTTAGCTGTTCTGATTAACCTTTTTTTTTTACCTTTTCATTAACTTTAAGGTATACTTTAGTTATGTTGCCTTGTAGTGTTAATTTAGTTGTTATTATTTATGTTATTTCCTTGTTCTTATTTGTAGATTTTCCCCTTCATTAACATAACTCGTATCTTTAACCTTCATAATAACTTTAGCCTCAAGTACAGGGATTAACTCTCATAAGAACATTCTTCGTAGTATTATTGTCACATCTCCACATGGCCATTGGTGAAACAGTGCCACTAATGAATTTAATGTTATGGGTTCTCATTAGCTAGTGTTTAAATCCTAACTCTGTGCATGGCTACCGTCTCACACCTGTAATGCTGTACATGGCTTAACCTTTAATTATTTTAAGTTACTATTAAGGAGTTTGATTACTTTAATTGTTCTAAGCTTAACTTTAGTAGGTGTTTTAAGGTAATTTTAAGGGCAGGGTCTCACTACCTAAGGGTAAAAGTATTGTTTTATATATTTTTAAGTTTTAAGTTCAGTCAGTGTGTTGTATTTCACCTACCTTGTCAGTTTACTGTGGGGGTGTAAGTGAAGTGTAAAATGGCTGTTAGGAATGATACTGTGAGAGTGATTGACGAAGCAATTGATTGGTAATGTTTACAATGAGGACATGAATGATGAAGGAAAGGACTGATAATTTTAAACCCTCATATGTGGTTAGGTTAGGTTGCTTAAGATAGGATGATGATGTTAAGCTGTAGTCATTACCTCAGTTACTCAGCTACTGGCAGATGAGTTAAGAATGATAGTCAGTTATTAAGTGATAGATGGTTGAAAAATATGGACATCAGTCAGTCAGTCAATGATGGGAGAGTCAGGGAAGATAGATACTATCAATCAGTGGTGGAAGATTTAAGACAACCACTTCATCAGTATTTGAAGAATATTAAGTCAATCCATCAAACATTATTGGAAAGATAACAATTAATAGGTAAAACTAGTACCCGGTAGGTGTCTAAAGAGAATAATGAGTAATGATACCACAGACCAGTTCCTTTATGGTGAGGCTTAGATACTCGAGAATAAGATCTTAAGATATTCGGGAAGATCTTAGATATTTGAGGTGATTGAGGTGGTTAATTCTGAAGATGCTAATGAGTGGATGAAAGAATGAGATTGGTTTGATGAAATCTATGTAATTGGTTCAGGTTAGTTTATCAGTAAGGCGGAGTATAGTATTATATGTGTGTGTGGAGATATAGTTTGCTCGTGAGAATATACAAGAATATAAATGATCTGTTTAATGGAAGGACTTTCAGCATTAACTATGGACAATTAGAAATATTTCAAAATTTTAGACTGAGTTGTTTTGGAATATCTTTTTTATTAATGACACTTTTAAAGATTATGCATATACTGTGTTGGATTGCTTTAATTTTTGGGAGTTAGCCACCAGGTTTCCTTATAAGTTGATTTACCTGTGTTGTACCTCACAGTGGCTCCTGGTGCTCGGGAACGCCTCGTACAGATCACCGGTCCAGCTGAGGAAAACATTAAGTAAGTTTTTTATTTATTTATTCAAATTTTTTTTTTAAAGTTAGGAACGAATTATTGCCTTGTTCGTATGAAATAACTGATGCATCTTTCTCTGCTATAAATGTCATCCAGGAGTTAGGTAATAAATGTACAGTGGGTAAATTATGTGTATTTTTCCTCCTGTAAGTCAAGCTAGACATCTCATCGAGGAGACAATCCGACGCAATGCATCTCCCGTGCGTGGCGACGAGAGGGGGTCTATTTTCACATCATTCGGTGGGTCTTCCTCATCCATCTCGTCCCACACCTCTGATGAAACGCTGCAAGGTAAATACTTCTCATCTTTTTGAATGCACTTAAAGTATGGCAGCTGTTATAGTTTCCTATACAGTATACAGTACAGTATATTGTAGTCTCCCAAGTTCTGTCTTAATTTGCATTCCTTTAGTAAATTAATCACCACCATATTGGTAAAACCATATTTTAATTTTGATCAACCAACAAGATTTGCTTTTTCTATTATTTTTTTAAAACTTAACATTTAACAGTTTAATTAGAGTATTTCATGTGTTTCAGTGTATTAAATGAATAATTTTTAATCAGTACTATAACAAGTGTTGTTATAGAGTTTGTAGTTGGATTTTAGAACTCCAAGAAATAACTTTGGTGCAATTCGTCTTCCTGTGATAAAAATTAATATATTTTCTTCAGTGCTTCGGAAGCAACTGTCTCTTGACGAGGTGGCTCTCAGTAAGTGTAAACCAACAAGGTAGTGATGTATCCTGGGCTTAGATAAAAGAAATAGACATTAAAGCTTAGACTTAGGTTATGGTCATTGGAGGTAGAATTATTAAAACAAAGGTACAGTAATTTAATTAGGGTATATTGATTAAAATTATATTAGGGTAAATACAGTAGTAATTATTTAGATAATGTTTACAATGCATTATGAGCTTTTTTTATTTCTTACTTCCTACAGCTGTGAACAGAGCCTATTACTGTACCTGTAGTTGATTAGTGTTGCTCACATTATTTATACAGCAGGGAAATTTCTCTTTACAAAATACATAATACTGTACCTGTAGTTGTAAATGTTTGTATGAAGTGGTACTGTACTTAAGGTGTATCATATTTCTTTAAAAGTGTTCTTCTGTAATTAGCTGATTTAACATATTCTTTGTATGTCTTATGTATTCAGGTGTGTGTGTGTGTGCGTGCGTGTGTGTGTGCGTGCGTGCTTGCTTGCTTGCTTGAGTGTGTGTGCGCGCTATTACTGATCATTACCGAATGTTGCTCGTTGAAAGTCATTGTTTTCATAGTATTTGTCTCTGCTGGTTCACGGCGTACAGGTTCAAGTTCCAAGAGAAGCACCCTCGTGCACAGCCAGTCAATGGGGGACGATCCGATAGGGGAGTACCGCTACACTGTCACCCACGGCTCCGACACTCTCAGGCTCACCGGGAACAACTTGCATCTTGTCAGGGTCAGTAAACTTAATTTTATGCTTAGTAGATGTATGTTTGTACAATGAGAGAGAGTGAATGAAGAGAGAGTCATTGTAAACTTTCCTGTTTGTTCAAGGACTTACACTATTATATACTGTACAGGTACTAGCCATAGCTATTTGATCCCCAGCCTCTTTAAATAGTCTTTGTTTTCTGTACTGTATAAACATTTAGCAATAATCCTAATGTGCAAGGACTCAGATAGCCAGTACAGCATAGTTTGTGTTGATATACAGTACGTATTACAAATGTTAATAGCAAAGGTGTTGAGGAATCTACCTGTGTATGTGGGAGATGTACAGTGGCCATGTTGTGGTGTGGAGAAGTTGTTTCAGTCATCCTGTGTTTGGAAGGAACAATGAATCGGTTACTGTATATGTACTGTATTTACTGGATTGGCTTCGCAAAATGCAATTCTTCTGTTGAATTCGGGTAAACCATTGTTGCAGTATTACAAATATTGACACAAGTTCCTACTGATGCAAAGCAGTTGTAAATTAAATAAGTGTTAATTATTTGTTAATATTTATAAATTAACTCTTCTTTGCCATTACAGGGGTCCTCTTGAATTCAATACTGTACTAAGTGAGCATAACATGAGGAGGAGGTGTAGTGTAGTTTAGCTAGTGTACCCAGAGTAAAAGCTGTACTCAGATACATATGTTGTAATATTACCTCAAGTGCCCTTTTGCCTCTTTTTCACTGCCTTTGATGGTTAAATTAAAGGAAGTGTTTGTACTGAACCCACAGACTGCCAAACTGGTGCTAGATGAGTTCTTCAGTGGCGAGAAGAACTTGAACAACATTGCTGTTATTTGCACAGATACAGGCAGGTCAGTTCCCAGTCTACTTAGATGCAATTATTCCTTAATTAACATGTTAAATAAATATGCTTCTAAAATTATCCTGCTAAGGGAGAATTATGAAGTAAGATTAGTAAGCCCATCGAACATGTTGTGAAGGTGAGGATTGTATGTTTGAGAGAGATTGTGTAGCAAATATTATTGTATTAAGTGGTTAAGTCAGTGCTGTAATTGTGTATCAGGTAAACTACACCCCTGTACTTCTTAATGCTAATACTGTACTGTACATTTGATTGAAAATGTAAAGAAATTCTGGACTGTTTGTTACCTTGAAGAAAACAGGGACGGTGTTTCAAGATTTCCTTGCTGTGGTGAAAGCATCGACTTGGAAAGGAACATAGAATGAATGTAATTGAGTAAAAATATAAGTCAGTAGCAGTGCTGTGGTTAAGGTGATTAATCTGTTTCTTAGATATGTGTGTGAGTGTGCAGTGGTGGGCTAGTATAGTAATGTTTATAAAAAAATTTAAGACAGTAGTTTTTGACAACAGGTAATCACTTGATGTGTTATTATTAGTACTAACTTATCCTTTAGTACATTTTACCTAATAATCAAATATAATTGTTGAGAATGACTAATTTTCTTGCTATTCTCTCAAACTATTATGTTGTCAGTTTTCACATATAAATACTGTATATTTAACTGGGGTTCACCTGGGTTGATCTCATTGACTACCTGAAGAAGCAAGACAAAAGCAGCATGAAGTACTGTATGTTTGAGGCTTTACTGTAGAGGATTTATTTAATGCTTGTGTTGGCTTTATCAGTAATCATGTATGAGCTCTACTAGCCTTTGTGTCTTGATAAAGATATTTTTACGGGTTGTACAATCGGCCGAAGAAGTGATGTCATGGTTTTAGTGTGGGTCATTTAGAAAGCGGTATCTGGCAACTTAGAGCGAGTCGAGTGAGTGAGTGACCAGTGGGCTGGATGTCATTGTAATAAGACAGTATATTAACAAAGTCTTGGGCCAAATTTCTCGATATCTAATTTTCTTTGGCATTCCCTCATGTTTTTGCAGGTAAAAGGCTTCAAGTTAGGTCGCAAAATTAAGAACTGCATCCCAATCCCATGCATGAAAGACGAGTCTGGTAGTCACCAGATACTACTTTTTGATTGAAGCTTTTCTGTAAATCATAACATCATTCATTTGTGCGATGGTACAATAACTTCTGAGATCCAGGAATGCATATCTGTTGTCCTATCTTAAATTAACTACGCTGGTGAATGATTCAGTGGAGAATGACACCCTGTGGAACCTAACTTCAATTTGTGTCTATGGCCACTTGTGTTCTGTATATACAGGGTGTATTTATGTAATTTTCTTTCACTTGGGAAGTTCTCTCACCCATTATGGTAGAGTACAGGATGGCCAGAATCAAGAGATGACATTCCTTCATTCTTTATAAGTACCGTAACTACTAGAAATATTCTGCTGTGAAGTTCCCCATCCACAACAAGACCCCACAATTTCCATCTGGTTTAAGTCTCGCCCCAACACCACACACCAGCCATACAACTCGTACATTATATATATTTGCATCTCAGTGAACCACTTGTGGACTCCCCAACTACAACGAGTGTTCAGGGCCGACAGCCATCTCCTACTGTACAAACACCGACCACAGAGTTAGACCCCATGGCAGACAGCCTTAAAGGGGGGGTTGTGACAGTTGTGCGTCAGCCTCTCTTCCCTTCATCATCAAAGTAAGGAATAGTCTACCAAATCTTTATTCCCTGTAGAAATATTAGAAAGTTTGTGTAGTGTAGAGTATTATGAGTGGGAGGGTAAGTTGTATTCATAAAAGGTTCTCATATTAATCACTACTAGCTAATATATATACTGTACAGTATAATTAAAAAGTATATGCATGCATCTCGCCTAAACTTAATGCATTGTTAAACTAAGAGATGAATAACAACTGATTTGCTTTGCATTCCAATGCTTTTTGTTTAGTCATTAATTTAAATGGAAACTGCAGTAATGTGCTTAAAGTATGTGCCTACAATATCCCTGTGAGCTGTGATATATGTGAGGAAAAGAAAAAATTTATATCCTAAGTGTTACTATATTTTGGAAACCTGTTAAGTTAGTAGCATTAGCAATAGGAAACTTTTATGTTGTTAACTTGAGAATCTTGGTTTAGGCATCTTTCACACAAGTTCTGTTTGTTGTGCAATGCTTAGAAATCAATGGAGTTCAATGGACATGTGTGTGAAAGGTCCCACTGAACTCCATTGATTTCTAAGTCGCGTGACAAAAAACATTTGTGTGAAAGAGACCTTAATCTTGCAGCTGACCAGAGGAGGGAGTGTTACGGTGTCTTGTATCCTGGGTTGAGTTCTGTCATATCCTGCTCCCCTAATATAGGGATTGTACTGTATGGTAAAGTGTACAGCCTATCCGCACATAAACATCAGCCCAGGGTTTGGTCAGGGTGGACTTAAGGCCCCTTAAAGCTAGAAATTTAAGGGCCATCATATGACAGTTCCATAGTATGTGTAAATATTGGAGGCCAACTCTTCTTCAGGAAAAACTTCATACTGTGGAGAGATTAGCTTTTGTTTGTTGACTTTTTAGCAAATTTAATGTGTTCCCAAAACTTTATTGTTACTATTAAAACTGTCTGTCATTTATTGTATATATTCACTGATTAATGATCCTTCTCTGTGTTCTCACTAGGGAGGCCATTGAAACTGCCGAGTGTAGCAGTCGACCGGGAGACCTCAGCTCCAAGAACCGTAGAGCTCAGTTCCAGAAGACCTGCGAGGATCGTGCCAGTGAGTTATCACCTCTTACACAGTTGTAATAAGTACAATATGCTCTTATTTAGAACACACATTTATGCTCTTATTACTTGTACAATTTCCTTAAACAAAACCTGAATAGAGTGGAACATCCAGTACTTATAGTGAAAAATTATTTATTGGTGGGTCTATGTGGTGTACTGTACCTGGATAACCGTGAGGTGGCAGGTGAGTGTTAATTGGGTGGTGGTGTATGTGTATAGAGGTATAGTATCGTGTGTGCTATTAGTTTCTTAAACCACCAGGACTCCTAGAATAGTGGGTTAAGTCGGTCTTGTTGCCTTGTGTGCCAGCGGACATCTCCTGTATGGATCTCCCTGACCACTAAGATTACAGGTGTGAAATTTATTGAACACGTTTAGTTGTGTGTGAAAGATGCTGTTTCCAGGTTTACGATAGCTTGATTGCCCGGTGCAGTTCAGCGTATACACTCAGTAAGAAAACAGTATCTTTCAGGAAGGGTCCGACGACTTTACAAATGAATAATCCTGTTGTCTCACTAGGGTTGATAGTGAGAATTCTTACCTATTATGGTTGGCCTAATTTAGTCATTTCATTCAAAATATAAAATTAGTTTTGTTGCATTATGGTTGGTGAATAACAGTATGCCTCATGGGCCTATCATAAACCTTCATTTGTGGTGTTATTTTGTTTCCCACAAGCATGTAAAGGTACTTTTTTTACCGAGTTTACATTGTCCATAGTGGACAGAGGTAGTGTGTTAGTGAAGAAAACCCCACTAAGAGATGGAGCTTTATTCCTCCTGTTTCATCACAAGACTTTCCTTTTAAAAAGTTTTGCGATGAAGTGTCTGGAATAAAGCTCCATCTCTTAGTGGTGTTTCCCTTGCTACCATGGTACAATATTTCATGCAGGTATTATGTGTTTGTTGCTGAAAAAGTGGAAGTTTTGAGTACTGTAATTTGTTTGATTCCAACTGTTTTTTTCAGTTATAGTTTTGATCACACATGCTAATTGTTGTTATCAGGCAGTTTTGGTTAAGTAATTGTTGAAAGTAGAATGTAAAATGGATAATGGACACACTTTAGAATTAGTTTTATTAAAGGTTTGGAGATATGCTCACAGTGCATAGAACCTTGACCTGGGCAGTGCTGAAGCAATGGTGGCTGTTGTAGTGAAGAATGGAGGTTAATGATGATGCCCCTAAGGGATTGAATACTGTACCGGTGTAAGTGAAAAGAGAATGAAAATTTCCCAAGACTATCAGAGAAAATAAAAAACAGTTCTAGAAAGAAATGAACTTAGGAATATTTTGAGTCAATAAAGGATTGTACGATGACAGAGAGGAGGGATAAAGTAGAGTAGTGGTTGGTGCATCAGTTGGCTATTCTACTGATCTCTGTTTAATCCCTAAATAATTTTTGGAGGTCAGGTCAGGTGTCACGGTGAGGAGATCAATGATATTCAGAATTCCAGAAAGATACATCAAGACAGGACGAGTGAATGCTGACCAAACCTTCACATGGGGCGGTTGTCTAGGAGGCCCAGGTGTAATTATTTTAAGCCCTTTTCCTCACTTAATGCTGGGTGGGTGGATATAGAGTCAATCTATACAAACAGTTTTCCTTTAACTGGCTGTCACATTCTTAATTCCCTATAAGGTGCACTATGGTACTTCCCTTCCACAAGATCCCAAATGTGGTTTACCCGTCATTTCTCACAAGTCAGGAGCACCCGTCAACAGTGTCTTGTTCTCCCCATATTACTCTACACTCTTCCCTGCTCATTCTAGCCCCCCTGCCACCTGGATGTCCAACCCTCTCACCTCTAGTGGATCTTATTAACCTATTCTTTTCCTTCCCTTCCTTCTACTGTTCCTTTCTTGAATTATACACTTTTTAATAATCTTTCTCTTCACATATCCATACCACGTTAAGCAAACTTTGGTCAGCACTCTGTCACTTAATTCATTTCCTTCCTGTTTTTTATTTATTTAATTTATATATATCTCTGTTTGCATCCTCCCACATATTGCTCCCAAGCACTATTTTGGTACTTCATATTTATCATAGACGTGACTGATCGCCCAAGCGGCTAACGAGCCGATCACTGGTGAAGAGGATAAAAGTAAAAAAAAAAGTAAAAGTAATCTAACTAGTAGGCTCTCGCCAATAAAGTCTAATAGGTACCTGAAAAACGCCGTTATTAGCGAAAACGTTATTTGTGTGACATTAAAATACATGTAAAAAGGGTTTATTGGTGCTGCCGCCCCAAGAATTTCACCCATTTTTTCCCCTTTGAAGCCCTCCTAACACTTATTGTTAGCTGAAATAAAAAGAATTGTTATTCAATCGTCAAAATAAAGAATTTGAGTAATATAACACTTAGCTTGGGGGAGTTTTTGAGGTGCTTGGTGTGATGATTGTTCCGAGGCTGGGGAATGGAGGCTACTGCGTCGAACCTCCACCCACATCCCTGGCCCCATCTCTGTCCCCGTCCCCACGCTGGCCTCTCGCACCTGGTTCACCCACTTCCGCTAACACTTCATCAAACCCCGCAAAGTCAAAATCTTCAGGCATTTCCCCAAAGCCATCAATGTCTTCATCAATTTTTTTATCACTTTTATCATTCATAGCTCGCCTCGCATTTCCATCACTACCGAAATATTTCTTAGCCAGTGCTATACTCTTCTTGGTCTCCTCTAAGTTCCTCTTAATATTTCGCACTGTAGACTCGGGACAGTTCAATTTCCTCACAATATCAATGTTCCGTGCACCACTTCCAATGAGTTCAACAATCTGTTCTTTATCCATGACTGAGTAGGCACGCTTCTTGTGGCCTTGTCTCTAAGCTTTGGGGGTCTTTTTTCTCATTCACTTTAAAAGTTCCCGGGCATTCAGGCGGCAAATCACTCCCTCCACCACCTTCCCGAGCCCCCACAGGCGAAAATCTCACACGTGGGCGCAGCGCTGTATTCCATGGAGTGTGAGTGAGAGTGAGGAGGAGCGAACTACTACGTTATCAACATGGCGGCAAACAAACGCTATCATTGATGCGCTCGGACGCTTCCTGCGAAATCTCCGTTATTTATGAGAATCCAGACGATATTATCGAAAATGGGTATCTATTGTAACTTACCTTTATTGTCGAAAACGTTATTGTGGAAGTCGTTATTGGGGAGAGCCTACTGTATTTAACTGTCCAATAGGGTGATCAGTGTGCTCTCTGTTATGACCTTTGTCCATTGTTAGTTGAGGAAGAGACCAGAACATCTTGATAAAACCTGCAATGTTTGGTTCGGTCTGATTCAATAACTCCCTTCCCAAGTATGATCTAGGAATTAAACCGAGATGCAGTGGTGAGAGGCAAGCTGTGCCACCAACTCTCCTTCTGATGAGCTTTTTTTGAATCCATGTTTAACTCCTGTACAGAATGCATCTGTTACTTTGTGGCCTATTTCTTACTCTGGTTCAGTTAATCATTATTCTGTTTGCTTACACACACACAGAGCTCCTCCTCCCAGATGAGCCAACCACTACACTTCCTCCATCCTGCATTCATTCAGTTTAAACATTCTCCCTATCTCCCTTCACTACATATTAATTTCACCAATCTTTTATGCTGCACATGCTTATACTGTACTTTCTTATACTACTGTAGTACATGTCCTTCCAAACTCATTTACCAACCTAGGCAATTTTTCTTCTTCCGAGTCGGCCACTAGAGCAAGCAGCAGTTGACTTCCTTTACACTGAAAACTAAAGACATAACAGATGCTTGTGAGAAAAGTGCAGTGAAACCTCCGTACAATCCGTCAGATGGTGGGGTTCACGTCTGACAAACCCTCTATATAACGGACTTTCCTCTCTGTATAGTCCTTTAAATAGAGGTCTCGCTGTAATTTAAAGAGGTACATGTAATGAATACCAAGTGTAGATGTTTACAAGCAATCGAGCATCATTTGTTCTATTAAGTCAATGTGTTTCTCTGTTGTTTGCAGAGCTTGAGTGTGATTGCAAAACTGGATAAGCTTTGGTATTTAGTTGAAGTTTTTACATGTTATATTGATGCGTTCACCTTCTTAAATGTCAGGAATTTGTCTCCATAGTACAGTAACTAGGTGTTGTTTATCTCCGAAACAAACGGCTTATTAATGTGTAGAGTATTTGTAATATTTTTTATATGTGTGTGTGTGTGTGGGAGATTTGTGTTGATGTCATTTGCTTTATTTTTCCTGTACTGTAGTTCCTGTTATTAACCTGAATGTTCTTATGATTAACAGCATCATAATTATATTTGGTAACATTGTTTTTGTGGAGTTTCTAACACCTGTATGAGTGTAGCGTCTCCCATGGAAAGTAGCACTAAAATAACCTGGAGTGGAGGGACATAATCAAGGGCGCCTTAAAGCATAGTCCCCAGAGTTAGATGCCGAGGAGTTGTGTAGTTTCGTTAACTGTGTTAGTAGCGCATGATTGGCTACACTCTGGTGCTCACTGAAAAGCCAACTCAAAAACATCCATGAAATTTGTCTGGGAAGCACAAGTCAAGTTTATAGACAGCATCATATTTATAGTACATGGTAAGGTTAGTTTTCAATTGTTTTTAGAATTCCAAGTCCAGTACAGTTTGTAGTTATGAAAAGTAAAAAAAAAAGGAAAAAGTCTGTTGTCAGATAATTAAGATTCACAAAGACTTAAAGTGTTGAATAGTTGGTTATCAAAAACTATCAACTTAAAATGGCAGTTTATCATTTGTAGTCGGTGCTCAGGTTATTTATATTTTTTCAGTTGTTTTTAGATAATTAATATATTTATTAATATTTTTTTTTTTTTACTTTTGTAAAAAATCCTAAAGATCATTTCTCTGGCTTCAACAAAATTTTGGTTCAAAACTGATTAGGACAATGAGCATTATGGATAATAATGATGCACTCTAATGATGCTAAAATTCAGTTTTAACAAAAAGTTCAACACACGGTGCTTCATTCTTGCTCTCGCTTTCCCAAGTCCTTCTTACTTGGGATGTAACCTGTATGAAAATCAAATCCAGTACAGTAGAGTTCTTTCTGAGCAAAACCAATGAACTAACAATCCTCGTATGGATTGGGCCGGTCCAGTAACTGACTACCGTGGCTCTTCCTCAGATGGGGATGACTCGGGGCCCTCCACTCCTGGTACCACTTGTCCCACGCTCGAAGCTGTGTTGGACCCTGTTCCTGCTGTTCCCGCTCGCCGCTGCTACACTCGAGACTTCCTTGTGCAATGTGCTGCTTCTCCCCTAAGCCGCCTCACCCCTGACAACTGGTCCCGAGTGATGCAACAGTCACCTGTGGTGCTCAAGAAGGTGCAGTGCTGCTAACTTAATACTGTACCAGCTAACCCTTAAACCTATTAATAACACTTACTTTAATTTCTATAAAAGCTAAAAAAAAAAAGAAAACTTATCTGGAATCCCGAAGTTTCAACACAGTTTTTAAGGTAAACTGAAGACTTATGTGCAAACTGAGAGAGAAATCATCAGTGGAGCAAGAACTGCCTTGTAACATCCTTGTTGCTGGTCAGTGTATCCTGTTTAGTGCTTCGAGGACCTTCACAACAGCACTGAAAATCATTTTGCTCCAGTGGCACTGACGGTGGACCAACACTCTACGACCACATACAGGCATCGCTTGATTTCCGTTAGAGTTCCGTTCCAGAGAATCATTACCAGATCGACCTTCGTAAAGCTAGGGATGCTTGTATGATATTCTTAACATAACTCCAGCATGTGCAGTTTGTTTAATGCCACTGATGCTTAACATTTTAATTTGACCAATCATTTTATTTTGTCCTTGCCTTTCAATACACATGTGATACAGATAAGATGGTCTATACCGAGTATTGTTTGAAATGACACATAACCATATAACAAAGCTGTAAGGGTGCGACCACACTATTTTGTTGCCAACGTGTGATCAACAAGAAGAAACGCAGCAGCATCCTACCAGAGTCTGAATCCTGTGCCTCATTTCATATTGTCGATCACATGTTGGCCATAAAATGTATGCAAGTGTGGCCGCTCCCTAACATGTCTGTTCTTCCACACAAAAAATGGCTGCATTTAGGTAACATCTGGCCATTACCTTAAAAAAAAGCAACAGTATTACTCATTTATAGTTTTAAGAGAATGCATTATTTTTATGTTGATGACAGTGGCTTATGGGAGCTCTTCTTTACGTTAACAGATACTCGGTGTACAGTATATACAGTACAGCACTATACATTTTCCACGGTATACTACTGTACCGTAAACACTTAGGTGAAAATTTAAGTTTGTGGTACGATATTTGTGGCTGACAATATACAGGTATTTGATCGTCCAGGTGAAAATTAGAAAGCACTGGCATACCCTTCCTCTCCTCTGGCATAGAAAGGAACAAACCTGAAAATACACAAATCCTCACAATGACAAATGTATACTGTAAGTCACTGAACATGTAGTACAGAATTATCAGATAATACTAATGAGAAAATGTGAAAATCATAGACAGTATAAGATTACTGTATCTTAGTCAGGGTTGGTTAGGTAATGTTTGCTTAAGTTGATTTAGTTTCGGTTAGTTTAGGTTAGTTCTGGAAAGGAATTATGAATACATGTACAAGACTAAGATACATACATTGATGCCTTGAAAATTCAGTGTAAATAGAATGGTTGACAGGGGATATGAAAGTAGATGGATGGAAAATGGAATGACTTGAAGGGGGCGGGGATGACTTGGGGGAATGTTGTGATGTATAGAATGAATACATTTATGGGAGGAGAAATGAGTGAGTGAATAGGTATACAGAAACCAGTACAGTACGGTGTGGGAGACAGGTGAAAAAAGAGGATATATGGATGAATTATTGCTGGGATGTACTCATGGGAAGACCTACAGTACTTGGAACACCATTGCAAGTCTGGGTCTCCTATGGAACTATTGAAGACCTTAGGAAGTTCACTGCCATTGGGAAGTTTTTTTTTGGAGGAATGCTTGTTGAGAAATACTATTAGATGACTTTCTGTATGACAATAGAACAGAGTAATAGATGTTAGGTGAGGGATGAATATGACAGAGTGACCAATGGCGTGTGTGTACTGTACTGTACCGGGGTGAGTATTGTCGTACTTCAGGGGTCCGCTCGATGAGTGGATTGTGCCTTTATACTGCTTAATATAAAAAATTAAATTGATAACTTAAAACTTATTTAAATTGTATTTTATAATCACACAGGAAAAAACTGCTTAGGCATTGAAAGTACAGATAGATTTAAGTATTTATCCTTTTCCAAAATTATATTTATTATTATTTTGGTATTGTACAAGGATAATACGAGTAGGGTATGATGCTAAATCTGTCCTATACTATACAATTAGAAGCACTAATTGTTATCCCCCCCCTAGTAGCAGGAACCATGCCTAGTAAAGACCGGGCAATCAGACCACCTCCCCCCCTCCCTTCCCGTGTCTAAATGTTGCTGGGTAGTTTTGGAACTATTGTGGCTGGGGATGTTGCATCATGTCAATATTGGCCTTCACTGGCTGTGGCTCTGGCTGGTGGGGAGTGATTAATGTTCCTGACTGTCCCCCCCTCCTCCTCCCCACTCCTCTCTGTCTCCACACCATCTCTCACTCCTGACCTAACTACTGTATGACCAATCTATCTATTGAGCCCCAACCTACTGTACACCAACACTTAGTAACAGTTTTGGTGCTTTTAGTCTGGGGAGGGAGGAAGTATTGCAGGTTAGGTTAGGCTTTGGCCGAGAAAGAGAGGGACATGTGACCAGTTAATATGTACTACAGAAGGCCATCATGTTGACCTATAGTACACCGTGCACAGTACCTCCTAATACTGAACTGTACTACTAGGTTAATTTTTGCTTTAGCATGGAACTGTGCTAAAACACACTAAACAATGATACTCTTTTCTTTAATGCTTGAGCCTTAATTGGAATCTGTTCATTATGATTAAAGGAAATTATTTTGCATATGATTTATTTATTTTTTCATTTTTATTTTTTGGTGTGTGGGGGAGGGGCTTACTAATCCCTGAACCAAGAACCTATGCTAATTTGACCTTATTTATATACTACTGTAGCTTCAACCTAACATAGCCTATCCTATCCTAACCAAAGCTAATCCAACCCAACCCAATCTAATATCCCATAGCATAACTAAATTTACCACCCCAAAGTTAATCTGTCCATAACATGCAGTATTAGTCACCTAAATTTAGTGTGTGTGATAATCTGGGTCTTGATCCTGGTACAGTATAAGGATTAGCTTGCCATCCCTCCCCTCTTTTTTTTTTATTTTTATTATTTATTTATTTATATATTTTTAGGGTGCTGTAGCATTTTTATGTATTTTGTTGTTATGTACTTGTTGTATTTGTTCATTACCTTACCCAAAGATTTTGTTGCAGTAGTAGTAAAGAAACTGTCGACTCATATGTAGGTATATTACATGATTTTGACCATAGAAACCTTACCATTATATTTTTGACCATAGAAACCTTACCTTTATATTAATACACACTGTTATGATAATTGCTTGTGTATTATTGCTACCTAACAGCTAGCTACTGCAGATGAAACACTTAAAGCTTATAAGTGTGCAGGTCTGTGTGTTTCTGTGCTGGATAATGACACCTCTCATGTTAACACTCTACTGTATGGTATTTTGGCTTTGTGATATTTCTTCAGGTTTCATTCCCAAGCTGGTTTAAAAGTTCTCAACTGCTTGTCATCTCAACCTTATGTTTTGGCAGTACAGTGTATAGTATACCTATTAGTGATCTAGCTTGTCATTCAATATAATTTTGAAATGGTCAATTGTGATTCAAAGATTTGCTATTTTACCCGCCCCCCAAAAAATAAGTAATAATAATCAATTAATCAAAATTAAATGCACAAGCCTGTACAGTGATGTGGAGCTAAAACAATGATTATTATATCTAATACTACTGTGATTACTGTTTCCTTATAAAGACTAACATGAACTTGTGTGTTGCAACAAAATGTCAGAGTCATCGTGGGTTAGAAAGGTAAATAATTTAGTTCACTGGGGATTAGAATAACTTGCTGTTAATGCTTGAAGCTGGAGTTGTGAAGTACCCTGTAACAGGAATAAACCTGATGGAAGTCTTTAAAACTGTCCCATGTTGTGGAGGAGGAGGACCAAAGTACAGTTTACAGAGTCTGTGCTGCCCTTGATTCTGGCCATCTTACGCCTACAATAGTATTACAATAATGGCTTCAACATATAATCTCCTGGTGTTATTACATATATTTAGGAAATTTGTGGTTAGTTCCTCATTTTCCCTCATGTGAGTCCAGTTTTAGTAAAGGAGGAATCCAGAGTACTCAAAGACAACCTGCAGTATTGGGTAGGTGAACACTGGATAATGCTCAATAAACCTCTCATGTCTGTCCTTGGATCAAACCTGGGACACAGTAGTGAAAGGCAGACCTGCTATCACTGACCTCAACATCTCGAGATCTCGATTAACATTTTAGTTACAAGTCTCTTTCCACTTCTCAGTAATGGAAAATAAAAGTTACTTACGAACCTTTTCATGGTTATCATTATTTTATATTAATTTATCAAGTATAAAACTGATGCTGAAAATTATAATTACAGTATTTTAGTTTTGTAATATAATGAATGATATGTGCATGATTCTATGAATTGTAGCTGCATGGGAATGGTTAATTTTTCTCAGATCAATTTATGCATGTATTGTTAGCACCATTTTATAACATTTTTAAAGACAACGATCCATTTTATTTTGGTTCTCAAACTGTAATACAAGTACATAGTTCATTTTACACCAGTTATAATCTTGTTTTATCCCACTACATGATGTTAGTTGAGTCCTGTAGAGTAAGAGTTGATGGGTGTAGTGTTCCTTGAGGTGATCTGAAGGGCAGCCACATGTACAGTAGAATGCTTCCACACTCGAATCTTTTAAAAATACTTATTATATTTTTATTTTGTTCACTTTTTCTGTTATACTGGTAAGGTATGTATTGTATGCTGTATCCCCGTCAGTATTGTGTATTTAATTACTCACACAAGGTTTTCAAAGACACTTGATGCCTAGAAGTAAGGTTACATGTCTAAACCTATCGTTATCAGTTGAAATGTGAGGTCTTAGTTCCCAGACTGCTGCCGTTCTTAGTGAGTGCCTCTTGAGACTTAATATCTTGAAAGTCATGCTGTTTGTCTTTTTGATACTTAATATTACTTGGTTTTTCAGTTCAGTCCCTATCATTTATTCCTGAACAGTATTACAGTACAGGCACAATGATTTCCTTGATGTACTGTACAGTATCTAAGGTGGTGAAGCATTAAGCTCAAGTGTTTGTGCTGTAGACTCACTTATGGAGAGTATGTGGATTTCCAAAGCTGATTTGCACAAGAAAATATTTACAGTATAAAAGTTGTAATGTGAAAGATTTTAGATAAGTATGTGTGGGAAAAGTGAATGTATTTTGTGGTAGAAATATTTGTAAAGTTAAAGAATAAAGAATATACAACACAATATAATGAAGAGTTATAGTTATGTGTTTGTGCACCGTGAACTTGGCCAAGACTAAGAACTGTTACAAAAATAAATGATACAGTACAGTTCCCATTACTTTTATCCTCTTCGCCTCTGATCGGCTCGTTGGCTGCTTGGGCGGAGAAGGTTCATGGAGGTGCTGGAGATTGAACCCGGGGCTTTTCACGTGTTCTGTCGTGGTACTAATGCCATAAACAACTTGAAGTGTATTGATGTTATGTAAAGGCATGTAAGATTTTTCTAACCTTATTCTAGTTATATAGTAAATTTTTATCCAATATCTCATGACTCAAAACTGAAACTTGACCTTAATAAATATAATGAGAAACATGGAATCATTTACTAAACATGGGACAGTGTGTTCAGTTTAAATATTATCATAAAGTAGGTGAAGGAGCATATAGTCCTCGGTATAATGTGTAGGATATTTAGGACACACCATACAGTAGGTTCTTGATGTATGACGACATTACACATGACATACTGATAACCAAAAGATAATTAACCTCAGCACTTTGAAATGTTAAGGTTATTTTTTTAATCTTTGCATGTATAATAGTCACTGAGCACCAACCCTTCAATTGGTAATGGTGGCACATTTATCTGACTTACAGAACTGGCAGTATCTGGCCGGGGTGGTAGCGACACTGAATGAAAAGGGTGAAGCTGCTGTGAATGGTGTGCCGTCGTACCTCCAGGTGAGTACGGTATTATTTTACTTTAGGCCTGTACTTGAAATTTACCAGGATCTTGCTTTACTGTATCCTGTTAGCTGCTAAGATAGTTGCTCATGTCACTGTTGGCAAGTACTGTATTAAGCATGTACTGCTTCCAATGACAATATCTGCTAGATGATGCATTGTGTTTGAAGAATTTCTTGAATTTTGTCACTATACTGTATAAGTACAGGTTGACCATCTCTAATGAGGTATTCTATCAACCAGTAACTCCCAATTAACAGCTTTAGAAAGAAACATCCAGCAAACCACAACTTATTTTTTGGCTTTATGCTTTCTTACAGTTATTACATACTTACTGTTTTGATATCATAAAAGTGGTAAAAAGATTGCAAAGGACGTGCTGGCTAGTTGATGTAGGTTGGTCATGGTCAGTCATATGAGGATGGTCATGAGAGGGGGTCTGTACACACACCTTTCCTTGTATTTCATGTTATTTTAAGGCATTTTTTGCATGTTTGTGTGTAGAAAAGAATGTGGTGGGGAGGCCTGGCTGAGAATAACACCAAATTATTTGAGGACAACATTCATGAGCATTATGGTTACATGGGTGCCCAACTGTGACAGAGTGTGACATGGGATGTAAAGAGTCTACATCTTTTTTTTTTATTTCATATTAAACATTATTATCACATTCTTCATTTATTTATTAAATTTTATTCACTATGATGACAAATTTTTTAACAACAAAATCTATTGTTACAGAGCATTAGGTTAAAGTGTAGCTTAGGCTTATGTACCGGTATACTATTAATTACCAAATAAGAGAAGGTTCACCTGTAATATTCTGCTCACACAAGATAGATTTAACAAGAGCTTTACTTAGATGCATGAGCAACCACGTCTTAACTGTATCCCACAAAAAATATCAGTAACATGTCATAATGTACTGTATTCATTATCTTTATTGTCTGTACTTAAGCTAATTTTCATTGATTCAGTCACAGGCAAAAATCTAAGCCTTCTTATGTTACGTTATATAATTTTATAATGTAAACTACTGATTGAAGTAATTATTAAGCAAGACTGGCAGCTAATGATACGTTATCCCTCCCTCAAGGCCAGTGACCTTGAAGACGCAGCTGTGCTGGCCAAGAGAGAACTTCGATGGACACTGATCAGAACAATGTCAACCACTGAAGAGGACGACAACGGAAATAATGCGACATAGATGGTTGTGAAGTTTTGTGTGAATTATACTCGTAGGTAATAAGGTACTTTTTAAATTGTTATGTAGAGGTGATTTTTGATGACAAAATTACTTTTCACAATAGGTATGTACTGTATATATAAATATTTTCATATATTTGATAAAGGCAATGTTCCTGCCTGCTTTCTATCTCCCTCTCTCTCTCCTGATATTATGACTTATTAACTTTCTGTATTGTTGTATTAGAGAAGTCTTATTTATTTGGCTCACACCTTCTAACTGGTATACTACTGTTGGCAGGTCAGATTATTTACATTATAAGAGGTGTAATTTTCTGATTTACAAAAGGGTTCCATTCCTGAGAACCATCCATGACCACAACATTGATCAAAAGTCTCTTGTATGAGTATTGATACACATTGACGGCCAGGTTCATCTTTTACTTTTGTCCATGTTGTACTGTAGTTTCTGAATCACTGTAGCTCTCCCTTGTATTTTGTGAGATGAAGAACTAGTAATAATGAGGGTTATGTTGTTTCTCACACAAGTACTGGGAATAATAACCATAGTCAAAGGGGAGTACTTCATAGTGAGTACCCCAGCCTTAGCACCTTATCGAGGGGGTAAATTCTAAGTCCTATCCCCTCAAGCATGGTTATCCTGACTTGACATACATTAATCCTAAATCAAATGCTGCTGTAGATTCCTCGGAACAAGTTTATATTGTCTTACTCTTAACCAAAAAATCATCTGGGTTTATGGAAAGGTTGAAGAATGATTATGTTCCCTAACATTGCCAAACAGAATTAAAATAGACAATCTAAATTTTGATATAGCATGAACATATAGAAAAATAATTTACATAATCAAAAAAAGTAAGATAATAAAATTAGAGTAGAACAGACTTACTGAGGCTGAGGTCTTTGGGGGATATTGCATCACTTATGGGGAGACAGTTGCTGAAGGTCATGAGGAGAAACAGTTCAAGTCACTTCAAAAAGAAAGTCAATATAATAGAGACCACCAACCATAAAGAACTAAGACTCAACACCACCATGCAGGAGACTGAAGATAAATGTATCGGTGAATCTAAGGGTAATTCAGTTTCTACCAGTGAACAGTCCCATCATTTGACATCAGACTTACCAGTAGGAGCAGAGGAAACTTGCTAGAGGGTTTTGAGTCGCATTTTAATCATCACAGCTACGTGTTATGCAGTAAAGTGATCCAAACTTTTGTAATCATATAATGTAGTTCATATTATATCATACATGCATTAATTATGGATAAGTGTGTGTCATTAGGATAAAAAAAATTGAATGAAACAAACGTGTGTTTATGATATGTCTGTTTTATGAGAACAGTCTTACAATTGCATAAAAATATTGTAGCTACTGTATAAAGGGATGGTAAGATATATAATAATAAATTACTGCATATTACTACAATACAGTATTGTAGTTTTTTGCCTTCCTATATAGCCAGCAACTCTTCCTTAATCTACCATAACTTCTAAAGCTACTGTTGTCATCTCATGGATTTTTCATTATTGATCTTTTATTATGTGCTGCAAACTTTTCTTAATCTATGTTTAGCTCGCCAACACATAGTGAGGATGAACTTGTGGATTATCCCTGGTATTTTGTCATCATTGTCAGTGGCAACAGTATTTAGTTTTATGTCCGAAGGTGACTGTAATGCAAGTTTTGTTGTCTTCTGGTAACATTAGTTCTACCATCCAGTGGGGTGTATTTTTAAAGAGGAGAGCAGTGGTAAGTGTGGAGCTCTAGCCGGTAGTGTGTAGCATGTAACATGTACAGTTACACTCAGGTTTACAGGCTATGCATGTTATATGAAGCAGTCATGACACACCCTATAGCTGACCATAGTGTGTACTGTATATTTGTTTGTGTATCAGTGTTCTATTATTATCCTACGTTATTGGGGGTAATGTATTTATGTAGCTGTAAGATGAATGAGTTGCATGTTGGTTAATCAATCTTAACCGAGTCCAGATATTGATATTTACTTCACTTTGTTAAATAAAATGTGTATTGCATAATTCAGTGCCTTGAGTATTTTGTACACTTTGATGATGTAATGTACTGTAATGTACATGTATGCAATCAATTTATTCTGTGTTTTAGCTTTATAAATGTTAGTCTGGCTAGATTGATAAAAAATGTTTACAATGTCTTAAAAAAAGAAATATGATGCTACTTATGATTTATATATTTTTTCCAATGAGCAGTTCTTACAAATGCATCACCTTAGAAGAAGCATATATGAAGTGTTCCAATAAACTTCCTATTTTCAGTCTTCTCACGTTATGATGGTGTTGAACGGTAACAAGAATTTGTCTTCGAAGATGGACATGATCACCAGAACCACAATTGTCATTCAATTTGCCCGACTGCTCTAAAGATTTGTAGACTTGCTATAATGGAGATTTGTATTATGCTGTTGTATGTTATTAGCAGTGAGGAATACTGTACACTGAAATAACATACAGAGAGAAGCACTGGATTGTATTGTGAAGTAATCGATGTAGATGCTACTAAACTTGAATAGCTGCTTACTGTATTCGCTTTAACATAAGAAAACTTCTTATAAATTCACAAATCACTCACAAAAGTTTCAGTTTTATTGCATCTTTCTAGACAACTCCGAAAGTCCAGCAATAATCAGTGTTAAGACAAACCCAACTGTACAGATTACCCCATACAACACACTATTTACAATGCATTTAATTAAACATTTTCACAGACTAAGAAGAAATCTTAAATTCTCTATAAAGCATTTTGTTCACCATTAGAAAATATATAATGATGTAGGTAATTGTGTCAGTACTGTACTGTACTATGTTTGTTAGTACTGTATTAAGTAATTTCTCTATTCAGTACTGCATATTGTTTAAGATGTCCAGAGCAAAAAGTGCATAGCCGGTAAGTTAAGGACCTCTTGTCCCTCCTGTTATTAAAAAAATGCTCTTACAAAGATTTTACCAAATTTTTTAAGTAAATGGTCTAAAGAGAATTTGAAGAGGATTAAGGGATCCCTTACCTTACCAAGTGTAATTATTGTTAAACAGATAGAACAAAGAAGTGTAGCAGCTCATAGTGATGATAGGAGTAGAGATATGTATGTAGATCAACTAAGGTAAGTTATTAATGTTCCTATTATAAAAAAAAAATGAAGATTTTGGGCTGGCCCATACATCAGATCATTCGGCTAATTTGGCCATTTCAAAATGAAGACCCTTGTTAATAGTGTCATTGTTTAGGTGCCACAAGTGCTGCAGTTTTTATTATTTGTTTAACTATTTGTAAAGATGTATGTCATATGGAAAATTTGGCTCACTGTAAAAACTCTATACAGATTACAATGAGATTTCATGTTGATATTTACCTTGATCTTTGAGTTGGCATCACTTATGTTCATGGGTAAATATATTTTTGTGTTGTGTATAATTCTTTGTCTATACTGTACTGTATATTCATCAACCATGTTCTGTTCCAGCTAAATGGGGTGGAACTGACACACACACTAAGTTTCATCAGACAAAGTACACTGTAAATTGTGTAGAGTAGATAAGGTAATGAAATGCCAGGTATCCAATCATCCTTTGCAATACCTGTATGTTAAAAAAAAAACAAATTATTGGCTGTTAGGAAGACAAATGCAGGAAAAAAATGTTCACCTTTACTATTGTTTGTTTGTTTATATTAGTAACTTATTAACCAAGTCCTTTCCGTACAGCCCCTTCACTTCCCATCGCTCTTACGATATTTATTCTAGGGTTTTGATGATAGATTTCTTTACCATTACAGTATATATTAAAAATGAGGAGCTTGACTGTTTCAGATTTACATAATATATTTGAATGTATTAGTAGAGTGTATTTGATAATAAGCAGCTTCATTGTACTACAGTATTTGCAAATTTCTTACCAAAATTTTACTTTTTTGGTGAATTGTGAAGATATAGACTTTTAGTTGTAAGTTGAATATTGAAAGTGAGTTTAAGGCTCTGCTCACACAAGAGTTACAGCAGAAAGTCTTGTTTATAATGTAATTTAGGAGATCCTTTACAAAATGCATCCCTTTTTATTTTCCGAGGACAAAATTTTCTTCTGTATTGGAACTTACGGAAAGGAAGCACGGTAGTATTAATGTTTGTTTTCCGTTTATTACTTTAAATGGAATATTTTATTCTAGTCTCTTGTAGAGGAAGCTGTATATTTTTGTTAAACCTTTTTTTTCCATCTGGGTTATGTCTCAAAATATTATCTATGAAAGTTTACACTACCTTTCACTCTTTATACTCAACTGAACGAAATAAACGGCAGAAATTATTATGGCGATTCATTTTACCCAGTGAGAAAGAGTGATATGACCCTTGAAATGATTTTGAATGAAATTTTCACTTTCAGGTATTGGCATTAAGCAATTAAACTTTTAAAATGCTTTACTCAGCATTTTCAAGTTTTTTTTCATTTTTTAATGAGTGTAGGACTGAGGGTAGAGTCAAATCACAGCCAGGGGTCTGGTCCTTAATGTTTACATGCCAGGGCAGAGGTCTATAGATCCAGATGTCAAGAGGACATCTATTAGACGATAAGATTAATTACCATACATCTCTCGCTAAGTATTAGAGAGAATACTAGACACTTGCCCATACAGTACTTTAATTACCCTGGGTGTAATTATTCTATGTAAACATAATGTATGTAGTCCACATTTATATAAGTATTACTGTCTGCTACAAGGGCTAATACACCTGTGTCCCCTGTGTGTCAGTATTACTACTAGGTACCTGTGTCCCCCATGTGTCAGTATTACTAGTAGCTGCCTGTGTCCCTCGTGTGTCAGTATTACTACTAGGTACCTGTGTCCCCCATGTGTCAGTATTACTAGTAGGTACCTGTGTCCCCTGTGTGTCAGTATTACTACTAGGTACCTGTGTCCCCCATGTGTCAGTATTACTAGTAGGTACCTGTGTCCCTCGTGTGTCAGTATTACTACTAGGTACCTGTGTCCCCCATGTGTCAGTATTACTAGTAGGAGCCTGTGTCCCCGATGAGTCGGTATTACTAGTCGATACCTGTGTCCCTTGTGTGTCAGCATTACTAGTAGGTGCCTATGTCCCCCATGAGTCAGTATTACTAGTAGGTACCTGTGTCCCTCATGTGTCAGTATTACTAGTAGGAGCCTGTGTCCCCCATGAGTCAGTATTACTAGTAGGTACCTGTGTCCCCTGTGTGTCAGTATTACTAGTAGGTGCCTGTGTCCCCCATGTGTCAGTATTACTAGTAGGTACCTGTGTCCCTCATGTGTCAGTATTACTAGTAGGAGCCTGTGTCCCCCATGAGTCAGTATTACTAGTAGACACCTGTGTCCCTCGTGTGTCACTGTTACTAGTAGGTGCCTGTGTCCCCCATGAGTCAGTATTACTAGTAGACACCTGTGTCCCTCGTGTGTCACTGTTACTAGTAGGTGCCTGTGTCCCCGATGAGTCGGTATTACTAGTAGACACCTGTGTCCCTTGTGTGTCAGTTTTACTAGTAGGTGCCTGTGTCCCTCATGTGTCAGTTTTACTAGTAGGTGCCTGTGTCCCCCATGAGTCAGTATTACTAGTAGGTACCTGTGTCCCTCATGTGTCAGTATTACCAGTAGGTGCCTGTGTCCCCCAGGAGTCCGTATTACTACTAGGTACCTGTGTCCCCCGTGTGTCAGTATTACTAGTAGGTGCATGTGTCCCCCATGTGTCAGTATTACTATTGGTACCTGTGTCCCCCATGTGTCAATATTACTAGTAGGTGCCTGTGTCCCCCCATGTGTCAGTATTACCAGTAGGTGCCTGTGTCCCCCATGTGTCAGTATTACTACTAGGCGCCTGTGTCCCCCATGAGTCAGTATTATTAGTAGGTGCCTGTGTCTCCCATGTGTCAGTATTACTAGTAGGTGCCTGTGTCCCCCATGTGTCAGTATTACCAGTAGGTGCCTGTGTCTCCCATGTGTCAGTATTACTAGTAGGTCCCTGTGTCCCCCATGTGTCATGGGTTATCTGAGATCACCAGGGGTGTTCCGAGGTCATCAGGGAAAGCCCAAAAGTACCATCGGATAATTGAAGTCACCAGAGGATGCATGAAGTCACCAGGGGTTGTCTGGGGTCACCAGGGGTTGTCTGAAGTCACCAGGAGATGTCAGATCACCAGGGGTTGTCTGAGGTCAACAGGTATTGTCTGAGGTCAACAGGGATTGTCTGAGGTCAACAGGGATTGTCTGAGAACACCAGTGGTTGTCTGAGGTCAACAGGGATTGTCTGAGAACACCGGTGGTTGTTTGAGGTCAACAGGGGTTGTCTGAGGTCAACAGGGATTGTCTGAGAACACCAGGGGTTGTCTGTCATCACCAGTGGTTGTCTGAGTTCACTAGGGAGTGTCTGAAGTCACCAGGGCTTGTCTAGGGTCACCAGGGCTTGTCTGGGGTCACCAGGGGTTGTCCGAGATCAGCAGTTGTTTTGTGAGGTCACCAGGGATCGTCTAAGGTCACCAGGGGTTTTCTGGGGTTCCCCAGGGGTTGTCCGAGATCAGCAGTTGTTTTGTGAGGTCACCAGGGGTTTTCTGGGGTTCCCCAGGGGTGTCTAAGGTCACCAGGGGATGTCTAACATCATCAGTGATTGTTTAAGGTCGCCAGGGGTTGTCAGAGGTCACCAGGGGTTGTCTGAAGTCACCAGGGGTAAGTCTGAAATTACCAGGGGCTGTCTGAGATCACCAGGGGTTATGTGAGGTCACCTGGGGTTGTCAGGTTGCCAGGGATTATCTGAGGTCAACAGGGAATGTCTGGTGTTACCAGGGGTTGTCTAAGATCACCAGGGGTTGTCTGAGGTCACCAGGGGTTGTCTAAGATCACCAAGGATTGTCTGAGGTCAACAGGGAATGTCTGGTGTTACCAGGGGTTGTCTGAGATCACCAGGGGTTGTCTAAGATCACCAAGGATTGTCTGAGGTCACCAGGGGTCTCGAGGTCGCCAGGGGTTGTCTGAGGTCACCAGGGGTTATCTAAGATCACCAAGGATTGTCTGAGGTCAACAGGGGTTGTCTGAGATCACCAGGGGTCTCAAGGTCACCAGGGGTTGTCTGAGGTCACCAGGGGTTGTATGAGATCACCAGAGGTCAGAGTTCACCAGCAGTTCTGTGAAGTCACCAGGGGATGTTTGAGGTCACCAGGGGTTGTGTGAAAACACCAGGGGTTTTCTGGGATGACCAGGCATTGTGTGAAGTCGCCAAGGGTTGTCTGAGGTCGCCAGTGGTCAGAGTTCACCAGCGGTTCTGTGAAGTCACCAGGGGATGTTTCAGGTCACCAGGGGTTGTGTGAAAACACGAGGGTTGTCTAACGTCACCGTGAGTTGTTTGACATCACCAGGAGTTGTCAGAGGTCACCAGCATGTGTGTAAAGTCACCAGGGATTGTCAGTGATCACCAGGGGTTGTGTGAGGTCACTAGGGGTTGTATCAGGTCACCAGGGGTCTCAGGTCGCCGGGGATTGTCTGAAATCACTAGGGGTTGTCTCAGGTCACCAGGGATTGTCTCAGGTCGCCGGGGGTTGTCTGGAATCACCAAGGGTTGTCTAAGGTCACCAGGCGTTGTCTGAAGTCACCAGGGGTTATCTCAGGTCACTAGGTGTTGTTTGAAGTCACGGGGGTTGTGTGAGATCACCAGGGTTGTCTGAGGTTACCAAAGGTTGCTTGAGGACACCAGGGGTTGCCTATGATCACCAGGGGTCACCAGGGGATGTCTAACATCATGAGTTGTCTGAGGTCACTAGGGGTTGTCTGGGATCATCAGCGGTTGTCTGAGATTACCAGGGGTTGTCTGAGATCACCCAGGTTGTCTGAGATCACCAGGGGTTGTCTGATATCACCAGGGGTTGTCTGAAGTCACCAGGGGTTGTCTGAAGTCACCAGGGGATGCTTGAAGTCACCAGGGGTTGTCTGATATCACCAGGGGTTGTCTGATATCACCAGGGGTTGTCTGATATCACCAGGGGTTGTCTGAAGTCACCAGGGGTTGTCTGAAGTCACCAGGGGATGTTTGAAGTCACCAGGGGTTGTCTGATATCACCAGGGGTTGTCTGAGATCACCAGGCGATGTCTGAAGTCACCAGGGGATATCTGGGAACACAGGGGTTGTATGAGGTCGACAGGGATAGTTTGAAATCACCAGTGGTTGTCTGAGATCACCAGGCGATGTCTGAAGTCACCAGGGGATGTCTGGGATCACCAGGGGTTGTTTGAAAAGACCAGGGGGTGTCTGATGTCACCATGAGTTGTTTGACATCACCAGGGGTTGTCTGAGATAACCAGTGGTTATGTGAGGTCACCAGGGATTGTCTGAGGCCCACCCTGGGCCAGGGTGGGCAAGGGTGGCCCAGGGTGGACTTTTTGTGAAATATTACCTAATTTTGCGAAGTAGATTATCATAGAAAACGGGAAATTTATATCATAGAAAATGGGAAATATCTACTTTCCGGGAAAGTTGGTTATCTACTTTCCCGAAAAGTAGATTATCTACTTTCCCGAAAAGTGGATTTTCTACTTTTCGGGAAAGTAGATTATCGACTTTTTTAGAAATATTACCAAATTTTTCCCAAGTAGATTATCATAGAAAACGGGAAATTTGTATCATAGAAAATGGGAAATATCTACTTTCCGGGAAAGTTGGTTATCTACTTTCCCGAAAAGTAGATAGATTTTCTACTTTTCGGGAAAGTAGATAATCGACTTTTCGGGGAAGTAGATTTTCGAATTTTGGGGGAAATATTACGTAATTTTGCGAAGTAGATTATCATAGAAAACGGGAAATTTGTATCATAAAAAATGGGAAATATCTACTTTCCGGGAAAGTTGGTTATCTACTTTCCCGAAAAGTAGATAGATTTTCTACTTTTCGGGAAAGTAGATTATCCACTTTTCGGGGAAGTAGATTTTCGAATTTTGGGGGAAATATTACGTAATTTTGCGAAGTAGATTATCATAGAAAACGGGAAATTTGTATCATAAAAACTGGGAAATATCTACTTTCCGGGAAAGTTGGTTATCTACTTTCCCGAAAAGTAGATAGATTTTCTACTTTTCGGGAAAGTAGATTATCGACTTTTCGGGGAAGTAGATTTTCGAATTTGGGGGAAAATATTACCTAATTTTGCGAAGTAGATTATCATAGAAAACGGGAAATTTGTATCATAAAAAATGGGAAATATCTACTTTCCGGGAAAGTTGGTTATCTACTTTCCCGAAAAGTAGATTTTTCTACTTTCCCGAAAAGTAGATTACCAACTTTTTGGGGAAGTAGA